TCCAGTATTTCATGTCTTCACCAATTTGGTCCTTAGCTCTTTCACATCCTCGTTTATGCTTCCGGGTCATTTTTTTGACTATTTACATTTTGGTCCCTGAACTTTGATTTTCTTCTATTTTGGTCTTTTTTGTTTATTTTTCCTAGATTCCGCCAGATTTATCAATGTTGTCCTACAAAACATAATTTATATATAAATAAACCATATTTCAATATATTTATCAACAACTATCCATATTTTGCGGTAAAAATAAGTGTCTAAAACACACTTATTGGAGTGTAGGAAAAAATGACTTTTAATTAATCACTGCCAAATAAGAGCATAACAGTAACAATTATTGATTTTTAAAAACATAAGGTAGGTCGACCACTTGATATCTCTAAACGACATTATAGAATTTGTGCTTCTCAAATAATTCTTGACAATTTAATTTTAAGTTTTATACAAACACCTCACATAATGATACTTACTCTTTGTGTGAAAGTAATTATTCGAGAATTGATTTTTCGATGAATCTATGCTTAAAAGTTATGGAAAAGTTACGAGAAATATGAAAACAATTAATTTTTTAGAATATGAGATTGAATATGGAAAATGAAAGTGGAGAAAAGTCATTTTCAAATAATCCTTTTCAAACAAGAACTTAATCACTACTTATTTAGATAATAAGGTGTTGACCGTTGAATTTCCTTATTGATAGAGAATTCAATTGGTTCCTCCTCTCTACTTATCCTCCTTTTGGTAAATTTAAGCCTCTATCTGACTATCATTATAATAAGAATTTTGGGTAAAAATGTATTTTGGAGTATTAGTTTTTCCAAAATGTGTAGTTAAAAAAGAAAGAATTTTTTTTATTTACGTATAATATTATTTTATTGAAGAATGTGTGGTTGAGAAGAAGAACGAGAAAAATGTATTAAAATTTTAAAGGGAATCAAACAAGTGCTAAAAATGATTTATAAATAAAAGTAGTAAGATAAATAGTAGTGAGTTCAATAAAATATGTGGATAATAATGTACAATTATAAATGTATGATTGAAATTAAAATTTGACTTTGACTAAATTTATAATCAATTCATAAATGGTATCCAAACTTGGGTTAATTGTGGCATTGTGCAATGTGAGGTCGATTATCTACAGATAGGGATATGGTACTAATGGGCTTAGTTTAGCCCGAGAACAAACTTGTCCCAAAATATCAGTTCTATTATTAGACGGACTACAACAAAATTGTGATTTTGCGACATACAAAAAGTTGTTGCAATAAATGATTTTACGCAACACGTGTTTAAAGTTTGTCGCGACAACTGTGATGAAAGAAATAAGTATCCAAAACTATAAGGCAACATATCGTGACAAATAATAAAGAATGTCACAAAGAATATGAGAAAAGTAAGGCGCCAAAATACTTTTTTATGGGATGCTTATGTTGATAACCTTTTATTTCTTGCAACAAGGTTTTTGTGATGCAACAGTATCTACTTTTTGCGACAAGAAATATTTGTTTGCTAAAAATTCTATAATTGGAAGAAAAAAATCCCCAGAAGAATAATTTTTTTTGCAAAGAAAAAAATTCCAATAGGTTTTTTACAACAGTTGCCATATATTGTAAACTCTAATGTTGTCGTAAAGTGGAAGGATATGACAACGTGCAATGCAAGCTACAATAGCCTTTAAATGTACGTTGTTAGGTTTTTGTGATGTACCTCGTCCGTTGCTTTTGTTATATTTTGCTGCACTCTGACAATTATTGATTCTCTCGAATATCGAGTTAAAGAAAAAACCTCTAATTTAATTATCAATAAAAAAGGGCAATGTGACAAAATTGCTAGTAAGTATTAACTTTTGGCTCTTGTAATTGTTGCATTCAAAGAATATTTCAATCAATGTTTTCGTGCTGTTTTGGAAGTTTAGTATCAAGAAAAATCCAATATTTCTAGCCATATATCTATCTATATACGTAACCAAATTCTCCTTTCATCACATTGAGATGCTGTCATCTTCATATTAGTCTAACATATTAGTTGGAACTCCGAAGATGTTCAAAATTTGTAATTTTGTAGTTAGATCGGTGTAGCAGCACATAATCTTATTTTCTTTCCAATCAATTTTTGTTCTACTAAAATCTCACCACATTTGATTCCCAGTTGACTTTTCCAACCCATTACATATCCCATTTGTTGGGTTATATTGAAGCAATGTTTTGCTTGCCAAAAATAATTCTAGAAAATAATTATCAATCTGTATGAAATCCATTCTTCATGAATTCACAAGCCGTTGACTGATTAAGAAGCTAAAGTGGGCTGTCAACTGATTAGAGGGATAATAATGTGGCTTCTGCATCTAGGTATAATTGTTGGCCATGTATTGAGCAATAGTGATATTTTTTAGTTAAGTTTTTCCATGTTGTGTTCAGATATGAGAGTTGCAGGTATCATGTTTGAGTCGAAGGACCAGAAGAAATAAAGAATAGAACGTGAAAAAACCTTTTGATTGCTAATGGCTGTTGAAAGATGACTTTTTTTTTTTTTTTTTTTTTGGTTGAATTTCAGATGAATTCTCTCTAGCAAGGGACCTGATATCTGCCTTTTTTTGCCTTCTTCCTAACTTCTTTACATGTAGATTGTGGAGATTGTGAATTTGAATATGCATTATAGCTTGTGCTCTTGTTCAGAGTAAAACACAATTTATTCCTTCTCAAATTTAGATGACTATTAATCTTTCTGCTTTTAAACTTTACCATAAATTTGTAGTCATGGACAACTTGTGCCAGTTGAATTACCAGGATGTTTTTGCATCATCTACCTTGTAAATATGAGATATTTGACATATTTTTCTTGAAGCTAATATTTTTTGATTTATTTTTTTGTTTGCATAAGCTTGCTTTAGTTTTAGTGCTGTTTTTATTTGCCAATTCTTGTGTTCTTAGCATATCTTTGTTTCGATGTAGCATCTAGTTGATAAAACAGGACTAAGTGAAAACTTAACAAATTTGTCAAGAATAGTAGGTGAAACTGTCAAAGAATTTAAAAGTTATTCACCTTCTCCAGCTGAGCATCTATACCAGCAGTTGATTTTTTTTGCTTCAAACATACACTCAGTGAGTTGGAAGCATATCTTGGAGTCAAAAATATTATTCAGGTATTCCATGAGTTTTTTGTTATTTCTTCCATATTTCTAGCTCTACTTTCTACTTTTCAAGTTTGGTGAAATATCCTAAGTAGTTTGACTTTGAAATTACTAGTATTATACTTTATTTGTATTTGTTATGATTTTGGAGGCAACTAAGTTTGTCAATGATACTTTGGTCTGTATTTATTTAGTGGACCGTAATATGATTTTTTGTTAATCTATTTTGATATCATTTATATTTAATAATTGTATATTGAAGCATTCTTTTCATAAAGTCATGAGTTATTTTTAATGAAATAAGTTACATTTTCAAATAAATGTGTACCATAGTGGCAATTCTAGTGCAACAAAAGAAATTGAAAATTATATGTTTAACATAGAATCTCCGACATACATAAATAAAGATAGAATAAATTAGGCAACAATTGTACATCGTTAAAGCGACAAACTTTTTGTTTTGTGGAATAAATTTAATTACTAGCTCAACTTGATACATAAATAAATATACATTGTCACAAAAATAATTTGCGTAATAATTTTGTATGTTGTAGCATATTCGCAACGAGCATTTTTTTTTGTGAAAAATTTTTAATGCGATGAATGACCGAAAGTTGTCACAGAATATATTCCATGACTCAACATTCATAACAAACATATTTCTTGAAAACATTTATTGAAATATTTGTTGCGACAAACTGACTTGTCGCCCTTTCAATTTTTCGCGACATATACATTGCGACAATATTATGGCTACACATATTGTGTTGTTACTTCGTATTTTGTACATCAAATAAATAGTGTCACGATTTTGTTAATGCGATGAGTGATCGAAGTCGTCGCAGAACATATTCCGTGACTTATATAGGGCGACAGTACCAGCAAAAAATATATTGTCGTCACTAAATTATTTTTGCAAGAAAATCTCAATTTTTGCGAAAACATTTTTGTCACAAAATTGGTTATTTTTTGCAGTGACATTATGAAGATGAAAAGGTTTTTATAAAAACAAAAGGGAAACATATGAAAATCAGATATATAAAATTAAAAATGAATTAATTTGACCTTATAGAACATAATTATTGAATCCCATCGATATTAAGGTTACTTTAAAATTGTACAAGCCTAGATCCTAATAATACTCTAACAAAAACTTTACAATCATATCAATTTAAATGTAAAATTAAGGTAACTTTAAATAGGAATTATGTTCCGTGCACGTAATTCTCCCTTTGATTGTTCCTAGTTTATCTCTATTGGTGACTTTGACTCAAAAGTTCCAGGAAAATCTAGAAGAAATAATGGCCATTGAATTTTCTTGTGGAGGAAAGAGAGCCGTGCATGCAATTATAATCCACATCTGAGCTCCTATATATTTGCCTGGCTTTAAGTTGAAATATGATTGTTCAAAAGATTTTTTGTTGTGTAATCGCTTAATGGCCGCACAAATACGGCGCCAACAAATTTATACAGAGCCATAATATGGACCCCAATTTTAAGGATGAGTCAGGGTGCACCATCCAACTATAGGCCCAATTTGAAGAATTTTGAATATAGGAACTCCAATTCAATAATGGAAAGACTAACCAACTAATATAACAAAGATGTTTGTTATTAACATGAATTATCAAATATATAATCTAAAAATTACATCTGAAAAAAAAAAAAAAAAAAAAAAAAAAAAATTCTCCTCAGCGAATCCAGCCGCCCTAGCTCGCCGTCTCCTAAATCTGCCCCTGCTTGGAATTCGTTTTCTTTACACCCAAATTTCATCCTTACAATCAAACGGACCCTTAAAATTTATACAATAATTTGAGTTGTTATACAATAATTTGAGTTGTTATAATTAATATCCCTACATTTCTCACATGGAATAAGACATTTGTGACATGATGTCAAATGGTCACCCACTGCACTATTATGTGACCTTTCAAACCTCTTAGTGCCTAATTCATTGTGATACATTGCCGTTATTTTCACTCATATTATCTTCCCCAACGCCCTCTCAGACACTCAAGAATTACATATTTTACTTCATTCTTGTTCAAACAAACTCATCACTCATCAGGTAAGTCAGTGGAACTCTATAAAACTTTCCTGTTCTGTTATTTTATTTTATTTTTTTCTGGACTTGCCTTCTCTAGAAGGAAGTATCATTGGCTCTAAGAACTTGTACTGAATTTGCAGGTTAAAAGCTATGGCGATGAGGGGTTTTGAAAGGCTGATGGTGAATTTGAAGTCGAAGCTAATTAGGTCTATGAAAATGAAGAAAACTAATTATGACAAGATTGAGAAGAGTGAAAGCATGAGATTTGAAATCAGGAGCAGAAAGGCTCGAAAGCTCATTGAAGAAACTCTCAAAATCGCAGATTCTCCTAAAACCAGAAGCTATGCTCTCTGATGCTATACAACGGAAAACTCAAGTGCATATTTAGTACGCAACAACATTAGTGTAGATTGAATAGTGTAATAAAGGAGGTTTGGGTTTCATAACACTGATTTTGTCGATTTTATACTGTTCTTCTTCTTCTTCTTCTTGATGTTGATTAAAGAAATCAGTTGCTAGCTAACACGCACCCCCCCCCACCCAGTCCCTACCCCTCATATACACACATGTATGCATCTCTGCAAGTATGCAAGAACGCAGGACTGCCATATCTGTATCACATGGTGTGTTTTGTCCAGAGGTTGGGTCATAATCCATAAACAAGATTGTGGTCCAATTTTCCAAATATATTTTTCATATATTTGAATTTAATATAACTATACCAAGATCAAATACTGATTCTTGAACAAATATTTCATAACTAATATGATATATCTTATAGAAGTATGTATATATTGTATTAAGATATGAGATTCTATCTTAAAATGTCGATAAGTGGAATAGTCTAAATTTTTATAAATTGGTCTTTGTTTTCATCTTTAATTGATATGAGATTTTAGCCCTTAGCATATTTTCGCAAGATTGTGGCTCGTTTAAGCAAATCAATCTTGAAATTCATATACTCTTTTTTGTGTTTTAATCGGATCGAATTGTTTGTTGGAATTTAATCGGATCTAATACCATATTAAAATTTGGGAATCCATCTTAAGAAATCAAACTTATTAAGAAGAGTTTACAAATTGGTTTATGTTTTGGTCTGTATTCGATGTGGAATTTTATTTTTCAACATATTAAAATTTGGAGATTAATCTTAAAAGGTCAACCTTATTAAGAGGAGTAACTCAAAATTTTATAAGTTGGTCTATGTTTTCAATTAATTCGATGTGAGATATGACCCCGCAAGATAGTAGCTCGTTTGAGTAAACCAATATTGAAATTCTTATACTCCTTTTTTTTTTTTTTAGTATTAATCAGATCGAATTGCTAGTTGAAATTTAATGGGATTTGATATCATGTTAAAATTTGGAGGTCATTATTAAAATGTCAACTTTATTAAGAAAAGTATAGCCCAAACTCTTATAAGTTGTTCTTTGTTTTTATCTTTAATTGATGTTTTATCCCTTAACATATTGATCTTGCTTCATAATAAATCGTAAACTAATTGTATATAGAGTCAAATTTTAACGAGATAGTTACACCATCCGAGTAGAAAAACAAAAGAAGTTAATAACACGGACTACTTTTGTCCTCCTATCAATGTTCATAGATATAGAAGGTGGTTTCAAATGAATATTTGTGCTTGTCTCAAACTGATTGAAACTTTGGATGATGTTAATTAACATGGCACTTGAGTTAAACAAAACATTTAAATCAAGTCTCGTCGTTATCTATTTATGAAAAATTGTGTGTGATGCCTTGTATTAAAAGGGATTTTTCGATTTTGTTTGTGCATTTTTAGTGTTAAAGAAGAAAATGATGATTGAGTCATATAGATGAGAAAATGTTGGAGATAGGACCATAAGCAGTGTAGGACAATCCAAAATATTAAGTTGGGAATGATGTGGCTATTATTAGGACATGACTCTGATCACAATACTAAACTGTTTTCTCTGTATATCAAACAGCAATACAACGACAAACCTACATTCTGCTTTATACAAATTGCTGTACAGAATGTCTGTCCAGTTTCTAAGTGAAAGAAAAAAACACAGGCATTACTCAAAAGATCAGTAAAACTAATCAAAATTAACAAAAAATGGTCCTCTACATTTCCATGTAGAGGGAAATGTAGAAGTCATATATGCATTGCATGCTTGTGGATCATGATCGTGTCTAAAAGCTAAACAGGGGACGGAAGAGGCGAGGGAGAGAAAGACAACTGCGGTCATGTGCACAACCTTGTCCTTCTACCAATGTTTTTGGTACAATACTACTCGTCTAGGTTGTTAAGTTGTATGAAGCCTAATTATTGCAACTTTGTGAAGCTAGTTGTGAATTGACCTTCGCGGTGAGTTAACAGTCGGGTTTGTAACAGGGCAGGAGGGCCCCCCTCATGATGGTGTTGGATTGGAGCCCCGAATCAAAATTTGATCTAAGGACTATTTAGAAATTTGTATTCTTATAAAATTTTATTAAAGAATTGAAATCATTGTATAATTCGATTTTACCTTTATCTTATGAATAGTGAGTCGTCCTTAAGTTTTATAATTATAATCAAAAAAGGGAGAAAGAGAGGTTAGAGAAGATAGGATTGCGATTTTTCCTTGTAAATCTTTTTTTTTTTTTTTATCATAGTGAATGTTTACAACGGCAAGAGATGATGTAATCTCATATTGAAGCGAACTTCTATAAATTTTACGTATTCTTGAGTTTTTATTTTTATTTTTTTTAATTGATTGCTTTCAATGAAATAGAATTATACAACATAAGTAACGTGGCTTGCACGAAGCGCACTTTTAACATTCTCCAACCCCGGCGTCTCTCCATTTCACGCATTCACGGGGTTTGGGGACCACCCAGTAGGTTTCATTTTGCACCAGTTGGGAATTCACAAAATCTAGAACATTTTATAGTTAACCATTTTCCTTTTTAAAAGAATAAATAAATAATAATAATAAAATAATTAAGTAATAATCTTCGTCTTCTATCTTACCAAATATTTATTCCAACTTGCGAGAGTAGTCATCTCTCTTCACTTTCATCTTTTTGTATATTCATTCATACTTCAACCGTCCAACTCTCTAAATTCAATTTATTATATTAACTCCTTTTAAGATTAGCACAAATGTTATTGCAAAGATATACATATTGGGCATAAGCTAAAAACATCGTGTTGTAGAATAAAACAAAGAATTAAATAGGAATATATTTTTATTAGATAAATAAAAAAATTAAGTAAGGCGAGAAAGCACATTTGCTAACATTCATGTTTATAATCAGGTAAATTTCATTAGAACAAATTATACTTTCACTTTATTATTAATCTAATAACTGTATTTCAATTTGTTCGATCAGGTAACTCTACTTCAATATGATTTCAATCGGTTAAACCACAATTTAATTTAATTTAATTTTGACCAAAATCTCGTCTACTTTCACTAATAGTAATCAATGACATCATTATCAATAAATGATGATTATTACGCATATAGAATTGACCATTTTCAATCTCACTTTTGTCCTTATAATGCAAGCATACTAGGATGGTCATTAAATTAATAATTCAAAAATGGTTTGCTTGAAATGTGGTCAATTGCAACGTTACAAGGCGCTGACGTTGCATTAATATCGGATAAATATGTGAAAGTTGAGATTTACTGTCCAATGTTGCTATTTAAATAGTTGTTTAAGTAATAAATTATTGACATGTCATCAATAATGAATACATTATTTCAAATTTACCATCATTGATTTCACTACTAATCAATCAAATTGATACCATATCAATAATTTAGACAACAAAATTTGACAGCAATCTCATCTCAATAGTGTCGCTAGAAATACCAATTCCAAAACTGTAAAAACACACAGGATTTGCTGCTATAAAATGGCCTGCGCTCTAAACATTTGGTAATATCCAAGTCCACCCTTGGAAGCCATGGCCAACCGTAGCGTCTACGCAAAGCTTATGCATAGCCACCCCTATTTCTTTCGACGTCTAAGCTCCGCCTCTTTTTCCTCCATCGCCGCCTCCCCTTCCCCGCTCAATTTCAAAGAAAAAACCGAGCCCACCACCATCGCCGACAAATCCATCGTTAATTTAGATGATTTTAAGGGGCTGTTTTCATCTGTTCCAACCTCGAAGTTGATAAAATCATCGATCAATCTTCACTTGACGGCAATTGAACCCGTGGTTGATATGGGCATGTGGGTTGTGAATTCGAGGCTCATGGAAACACCGTTATTGAGAGAGATAATATTGGGAGTCATTAAAAGTACGGTTTATGAACATTTTTGTGCGGGTAAGGATTTGAAAGAGGTGGGTACTTCTGTGAATAAGCTTTACGATCATGGACTTAAAGCTATGTTGGATTATGGCTTGGAACATGTGAATGATAACGAGTCATGTGATCGGAATTTCAATGAGTTTATGCAAACTATTGAATCAACAAAGTTTCTTCCACCTTCTTCTGTAAGTTGTTTCTTATTCTCTAATCTTATTTTTGGACCATATCAATGAATCTGTCTTAAGAAGCCTTGACGATGCAGGTCAGATTCATTTTTTCATCAAAACTGTGATTTGCACACAATTTTCACGTATGACGCACGGTGAAACTTGGATTTTATGCTCTGATACCACGTTTGGGATGAAAAATTTATGATTACAGGTTAGCTTCGTTGTAGTGAAGATCACAGCAATATGTCCTCTTAGTTTGCTTAGAAGAGTAAGTGATCTACTGAGATGGCAATACAAGGATAAATCCCTTCATCTTCCATGGAAGCTTAAAACCTTTCCAATTTTATCAGATTGCAGCCCTTTTTACCACTCCCCAAATAGGCCAGAGCCCTTGACCCAAGAAGAAGAAAACAATCTCCATTTATCTCACCAAAGATTAACAAAACTTTGCGAGAAATGTGTCGAAACGAATGTTTCCCTGTTAATTGATGCAGAGGATACGTCGCTTCAACCTGCAATTGACTACTTTGGGTACACGGCATCAATCATGTATCACAAAGATGATGAGCCTATAGTATTTGGGACAATTCAGGCTTACTTGAAAGATGCAAAGGAGAGATTGGTTAATGCAAAGAAAGCTGCAGATAAAATGGGAGTGCCAGTTGGGTTTAAATTGGTGAGGGGTGCATATATGTCAAGTGAAAGACAATTGGCTTCTTCTTTGGGTGTCAAGTCCCCAATTCAAGATAGTATTCAAGAAACACATCGGTGTTACAATGATTGTGCAGCTTTTATGCTTCATGAAATTGCCAATGGCTCGGGGTCAATTATTCTTGCAACCCATAATGTGGAATCAGGTAAAGATTTTGAAATAAATATCAATCTAGGTAGTGTTGGGACCTCGACCAACAGGCCATGAGGCTTTCCTAATTTTTTTTCTATTTACATGCCTGAAAGAGCGGCTAAACGATTGGACCACACACAGGCCACTTATTGTTCAAGGTATTAAATGTATCACAACTTCATTGGACAATAGCATTTGTCCGGCCGATCTTTCCATTGGCATCACGTCTTGTTTATAAGATGGTTCCAGTCCAGGAATTCTTCGACAAATCAAGGGACTCACTACCACCTAGACTAGTGATGATAGCATTACTCTAAAGGAAATGCTTTCTTTGTTTATAATGAGACGTCGGGAAATGGTTTTTGACAAGGTTTTTGATGATTTACAGGAAAACTAGCGGCTTCGAAAGCGATTGATCTGGGAATTGCAAAGGACAATCAGAATCTGCAATTTGCACAACTATATGGAATGTCAGAAGCCCTTTCTCTGGGTTTAGTTAATGCAGGTTTTAGAGTTAGCAAGTACTTGCCATTTGGACCTGTTGACCAAATTATACCTTATCTTCTAAGGAGAGCTGAAGAAAATAGAGGCCTATTATCAGCTTCATCACTTGACAGACATCTCATGAAGTAAATATCTTTATGTATATTGAGCAATTTTCAATTTTACAGGACTAAATGTGTGTTAATTCATTGATTATTTGCTATGCAGGAAGGAATTAATGAGGAGATTAACATCATCGATTACATGACATTTTCGGAAAGCTGGATTTTGTTTGAGCAACAATCGAATTTCATCATATTATAGTACTCATATAGGAGGAGGAAAGAATCGACCTAGCTTATGATCAATATAATTGTACAAAGGTTGAAACGAAAAGAAAAATCTGTCAAATGCTATTAAGATTCTTGTACCTATCAAATGAAGCATTGTATATCGGTGTACAAGACTTTTCCGTATTCGAGAAGACCCTATCGAGTTTACAGATGGATCGACTATGGTGCCATATCTATCAGACTGCGAAGTATAAGACAATTTACTTGCATGTGATTCATCACAGAGAACACACCAAAGGAAAAAAGTAAAAAAATAAAAATAAATAATAAATCAATCAATCTTTTAAGATTTGCCTAAAATTTAGAGCTCCATAATTTACACGATAATATTATTTTTCCATCAATTATTTGACCATACTATTTTTTAAATCAGCGAATGAATTGGAAGAGAACAGGACAAGATTTTAAAACCATTCTCCATACAAACTCAACACCTTCCATAGATTTATTCAACAATTTTAAATCTGCTGTCAGTTACTGTGACGCTTAACACCCGTCTATAATGCATTAAAGTATGTTGTTTATGGTTAAAAAAAAGAATAAATTAATTGTTAATTGTAAATAGTATATCGTAACTGTTACATGGATGAGTGTTAGATAACATTATTTTCTTTTATGACTGCAAAATAATTTTTTACGATAAATTAAATAATAATTAAATTACCTCGAAACAGTATTCACAAAAGTAAACTAAAACTTTTGTTCGAATCATGAGCTACCACCATGGAGGTACCGATGGCAATGGGAGGTGAAGGCCATTACCATTCTGGGTCGTTGGGATTTTTGGAAAGAAGGATGGGAAAAAAATCAAATTTACACCATGTTTAATTAATTCATTAATTTTATATTATTATCTTTTAAATATGATTTTACTGTTTTCTTGACCTGGTCAAGATATGTGCTTTATTTATTCTTTTTATCGATGTGTGATTTGAACAATTATGAACGTTTTTTAAAGTATCTGATTTGAAAGTTTATGAGCTAACTAATTTTTTGAATAGTTTTAGTAATGATGTTTAAAACAGTTCAAGCGTCCAACTTATGTTCTGATGTTTATTATCTACCGATTCTAAAAGTTTCTAAAAGAAAAAAAAAATTGTATACATGCCCTTCAGAAAAATTTTCAATTCATAATTTCTTGTATGAAATTTTTATACTCATAATTGATATTTTACTTATAGATAATTTTTTACATATAAGTTAAAATTTAACTTAAAAAGTTAAATAAAGTTAAATACCTAATTTAAATTTTAAGTTAGCATTTTTTACATAAGTAAACTTTACAATTAAAAATTAATTTTATAATTTTCAAATGAATTTTTTGCTTATAAATAACTTCAATATATATATATATAGTATTTTTTTTTTACAAATAATTAAAAAAAAATTAACATAAAAGTGATTATTTCTCTTACAAGTAGTATTTATTATAATCATTTTAAATTATAATATAATTTTTTTGTTTATAAATAATTTTTTTAGCTAAAATATTTTTATTTACAAGTTAATTTTGAATATATATATACTAGTTGAAATTATTATTTTATAGAGCATAAAATTAGAATAGAATATAATAAACGGTCGAAATTCGTCAATTCGATAAATTGAAAGAACCAGTCAAAATTACAAAACCACCCAAAATTAGTGCCCAAAATACTTGCAAGCACCGATTTTTTTAACCCCTTATGAACAGTGCAATCCAAAATCGATCAAAATTGGTGTAAAAATACTCCCGAGTGGGCCCTAAAGCATCAATGTCACACTCGAAACTGTGCTACCTTCAATTATGGCGTTTCATATGACAATACGTAAACTACTTTATGAGTAATTCCAACGAACCAGGAATCCAGAGGAGAAACGAAGCGTGTGCGCACACGGAGAGTTAAAAGTTTGGCCATTGCTAAACCAAGAAGAATCCTATCAAAATCAAACATCGCATCATATTGGTGGGTATCAGCATCAGAAGCATGAAAACAAAGATTCCACTAACTACGTTTCAGTTGATCATTGCGTGCCACTAATAAATTTATTCATAGTTTAAGTGATATTCAAGTTTCAATGGCGACTACCGGTAGTTTTCACTATGAACAAGATTACTCACCAATAATTGATATATCATCTTAAAAGTAGGAACACAAATCTCATTTAAGAGGATGTATCACTTAAAAGACTCATAGAAGGGTGTCAATATTATTCAATCCAATGAACCTGGAAATAGGGTTGCAACAAATAAAATTCAACACATAAGCCAGCTTTAAAAGATTTCAAGAAAACGAAATTCAGCTTCTAAATCACAATTGGAGAAGCCATTTCTAGTGGGCATAAAAAATCACACCAAAAGGAGATTAAAAGATTCCATAGAGGTGGGGGGAGTCATCCATCACTAAAACCTAATATATGAACGGATCATTTGAATGGAGACAAGTTCAAAAGGTCTATTCTGCTAAACTTACTGGTTGTGACACAAGAAAGATGAAAGAATAAGAAGCTTCTTGCCAGAATACAACATTAAAACCATGTACTCAGTGGTACGGCCCGTTTTACTTCTTGTAGAAGAGTTTCTTTAACCCAAAACTACTTTAGATCAACTCTCTCTAAAACCTCTTCTAACAGACAACATTTTCAAAAAGCTATCCAAACATATTAAAAAGCATCTTCTTAATCTCAGAAGCTTTGACTTTTCAAAAATCTTATCAAATGGGACCTACATATCGTACTAAATATTGAACATAGTCAAGGCAACTGGATTCGAGTACATAACTAAAAAAATGTCAGGCAATTTCTGTATAATAAGAACGTCAATATAATACAAGGACAGACTGAAGCCTCCTGGTTTTAATGCAAATCATTATGAATATGTAAATTTACTGGTTCCAAGTACCGTAAAAGAACAAATTCATTGTATCATTCTTGGAGAAAGGAGAAGAAATTACCATCTCTTGTTTTACTATATAATGGGTTACAATGCACATGGTACGAGCAACTAACTCTTCAAGTTCCATTTCATGATATTAAAAGCACAATTTAATAAGAACCAAGAGTGGCTACTACTTATGAGATCAGTATTCGTGGCATACCAGTAAACAGAACAAATCAACTAAAAGCTAGCTTTAAATGATAGAAGATATTTGTACATGCAAAAATAAACAAATCAAGTCTCAAATCATCAGATTGCCCATTATAGGACCTTTGGAAGTATAAAAATAGTTCCCACTCTAGATTAAAACAATATTCTTAGCTTATAGTGAACAAAACTCCCTTCTTTTGAATATTATACACTCATGAGGATGTTACACAAATCCATGAATAAAAACTAGAAGGGAACATACCATTAGCTTAGAGTTTGATAGCCTAGAGGACCTTGCATTCCGTCTTGTCCAGTATCATTTCTACCCATCAGAGAAGGAATCCAAGGAAAGAGCTTCCCAAGTTCCTTCTTTAGTATGCGACCTGTCTGTCTCTCATTTATTCCAAACTTGGCTCTTTCTATGGCTTCCATTATATCTTCTCTCGCAACACATTCGGCCCCTGTTGAAATCAATAAAGCATAAAATTATAAATGTACAACCTTTCATAATGTCATAACAACATTCACTATGAAATATATAGAGAAAATATGCAGATGCGTATTGAGATTAAAAGAGGGCCACCTTATCTAATGTCCAGTTTCAGTACAAATCACTTTTCTCCTTGAGAAGGCATAAATCTGATGTTCAGCAGTCTCACTGACAATATTGATGGGACTGGACCCACATTCCCATCGTCAGATACCATTCTTGAAATAGAAATTACCATCATAGCTTTAAAATGAGAAACTAGGGGTCAGCCCATTCTTCCATTTATTTGGGTTTTTAATTATATTTCCCCAAACATATTTTCCTCCGTGTTGGGGGGACCTAAGGGGTCACGGGTTCTTGCTCCCTAGGAAATGCCATTGCCGTCCATTTAAGTGATTATTGGAAAAGATGCAATATGTCGAAGTCCAATTTACATCAAATTATGTTCTCTCTATCTAGACAGAATGACAGATAGAAATCAGTTTTATGTAAACCTAGGGTGTGTTTGATACATAATATTGAACTGGATAGGACAAGACCATACTATAAACAAGATTTTAGCATCTTTTCCTCCTATAATATTGTACAATGGACAACACATCATACCAAACATCCCAATAGTGAATAAAAGAATATCTTTTGGAATGTGAACCTGGGAAAATTTGACAGCACAATACAATTTAATCTAACCTCTTCGAGCAGCAAGAAGTGCAGCCTCATTGACTATGTTCGCCAGATCAGCCCCTGTAAGGCCTTGAGTCAGAGATGCAACTAGGTTGCAAACAAGATTTGTGTCCTCCTCAAGTGGAACTCCTCGGAAATGTATAGCCAAAATCTTTCTTCTTCCCTCTTCATCTGGTTCTCCCACATATACTTTCCTTGAGAATCGACCAGGCCGACATAGAGCTGGATCCAAGGCGTCTGGTCTATTCGTTGCAGCAATGACAACAACATCAATGTCTGATTCGAAGCCGTCCATTTCTGTGAGCAACTAGAAAGAAAACAATAATCATAAGGTCCAGTAATCATGAAACTATTGATAAAAATTACGTTGGTTTATGTGCAAACACACTTCCAACTCACATAATTGGAATTTGAGTATTGATGTGTGAAAGAATTCATGACATGGACAAGCCCATGTAAGAAAATCCTTATCAAAGCATTATCATTTTCCTTCTTACCGTTATTATTGGAATTATTATGCTAATTGCTTTTATGGGGTTACTGCAAATGAGTTTCTCCCAATATTTTCCCCTAATTGAAAGAGTTTGAAGTTGGTTTAACACGAGCAAGGACATTATGGGGATTACTGCAAATGAGTTTCTCCAGATATTTTCCTACTGCAATTAACCATTATTTTAAGCTTCTTTTACTTCCCATTTCATCATTTTTTTGATCTCCAATCATCAGTAGATGTATTCATTTTTTATACCTTAAAATGTCAACATGCTTTTGACGCCTTTCATTCTCATTACCATAATTATGCACGTCTTAAAACAAAACTAGAAAACATAGTATCAAGCATCATGAATATGTTTGTCTGCGAATGTGACTAATCTGTATGTAGTTAATTTCATAATTCCAGAGAGAGAAAGCATTTGCAACTAAACTTAAACTTAGCAATAAAAAGCATAACATTTTGATTTAACACATAATAGAGAAATGATGTGATATGCTTCTCAACTGAAAATTGAAAATACCTGATTCAGTGTTTGATCTCTCTCATCATTGAAACTCCTACCACGCTTTCCGCCAACAGCATCAAGCTCATCAATAAAAATAATCGATGGTGCATTCTTCCTCGCAACACTGAATAGGTCTCTTATGCGAGCAGCTCCCCTTCCAACAAATAACTCTACAAATTCACTGGCGGAAACTGAAAAAAATGGTACACCAGCTTCCCCGGCCACTGCACGGGCTAGTAATGTTTTTCCAGTTCCTGGAGGACCTACAAGCAGCACGCCTCTAGGTAACTTGGCACCCAGCTTATTGTAATTAATAGATCCTTGAAGGCAACACACTATCTACAAAGAAGAAAATTACATGAGTGGTACTCAAATAAGAGCTATATTCTTATGTGCTCTGACAAGTAAACAATTAAGAGAGAAGTAAATCCCTGATTTTGTTTAACTGTGAAGCGTGAAGTAGTTGTCCCATATAACATACATACTATACATACCCACATAGGACACAAATTTTCCTCCCTTTGCAGGAGACATGTGAATCCAAACAATGGTCGACATATGAATTTTGAAAATTATACCAAACAAATTTTCCATTTAAGCACCCATTCTTAATGACCAACAAAGAGTTCTTTTCTCAATTTAGTTTGAAATGTATATAAGTCAATAACAAAAGCACACTACACATGCTTGAACACTAAACTTTGAAAAACTGATATAGTTTCCTTCAATTTATAAATCATGAGGTTTTAAAGCTTCCTTCCTAAATGTATGAAGGTAATTTTCCTTTTTTTTTTCTTTTTTTTTTTTTTTGGGGGGGGGGGGGGGGGGGGGGGGTTGGGGGGGATGCCATTTACTCGTGGCACACAAAAATCAGGGCTCAATTTTCAATCCCTTTTTCTATTATATTCGGAATAGTTTCTCTATTCTGCAGTCAGATCAAATTTATATAGCTTAGGAGATGCAAACAATAAACTATCCCATCTTAAAGATAGACTACAGAAATTATAAAGTGGAGAACAAATAGATATTTTCAGGCACACGTATAGGGTTTAGAGTTTTTTTTTTTTTTTTTTTTTTTTTTTTTTTTTTTGGGGGGGGGGGGGGGGGGGGGGGGGTTGGGGGGGATGCCATTTACTCGTGGCACACAAAAATCAGGGCTCAATTTTCAATCCCTTTTTCTATTATATTCGGAATAGTTTCTCTATTCTGCAGTCAGATCAAATTTATATAGCTTAGGAGATGCAAACAATAAACTATCCCATCTTAAAGATAGACTACAGAAATTATAAAGTGGAGAACAAATAGATATTTTCAGGCACACGTATGATACACAGACCACAAAAACGTATAAAACTTATAAAGAGGTAATTGACTAATAACAAACGGATTGAAGGAGTGACAGTTCAACCTGGATTACAACCTGGCAAAGTGGGGGCCCATGTGTATGAATAAAGAAATTCTATTTGATATACCAATTTCATTACATTAAAAATGTATAAATCTTGCTCTACTATATATATACACACACACTAAATTATAAAGTTCATCAAATATAACAGAGAAGCTAATTTTTGCTTAGAGCAACATATGGTTGCATTATTGTAGATAACTGAATTTGTTAACTAAAAAAGGGTTGTCACTCTAATGAAATCTGATTCTTGCACAATTCACAATTTACAATTTTCTTCTGATACGAAAATATTTTATGGTAATGAAACTAGAACAATTATTTAGAGATGTGATTTTGTAAGAAGATAGCTCACCTCCATAAGCTCCACTTTTGCAGCATCAACACCATCCACATCATCAAAGCAAACCAACTGATTGCTGGGTTTTCGTTTTCTGGCTGGACTATTGGCAGCAGAAAGTTGACGGTAAAGAAGCCACATTAAAGGAGTCAAAGGGATCCATAAAGAGAGCACCGTAATCAACATATTCCTCATAGACATTAAAACTGATTGAGGTGCTGAGCCATACGCAGTCCCCTTTTCCCTCATGAGACAAAGAAGATAGCCCTCATCGTGATCAATCTTTCTTGTTGAGAACTCCCAAGCAGGGGCCGAAGTTTTAGATTTTTTCAATTGTCCTAGCAAATTTCTTCTCTCTTGGTTTTGGTGAGCAATGACATTGATTGCATCACTCTCAAATCCAGTCTCACTATAAGGAGTTGATTTATCGTCCACTGTTTGAGCATCTTTAGCATGCCACAGGTTTGTATTATAATATATACGACGAGTACCCTCCTCAAACAAAACCTTTGTCACATTCCCACTTTGAAGGCTCGTTATGAGATCTGAATATGGAACAGCTTTTGGAGTCGGCATTGCAGTTAATTTGAGAAACAGAAAGCAAAGCCCTAGTACTACAGATACAGAGGTAGATAGAGTCAAAATTTTAACATTCTTGCGAAGGAATGTTCTGAGGCCATTTAACACCGACCTGATTGAAACCCTTTTCAGTCTTCTTGACAATAATCGTAACCTTGGGCGCAATCTCAATGAGAACTTCTTTCTTATCTCATTATTTTCTCCTTTTACCGGATGGGTATCTACATTTCTGTTCTCATTGGCCACTGACCTAATATTTTTACCACATAAAAACCTTTGGTGAGAAATACAACTATAATTCAGCCCCGATAAAGGCTTAGATATCGAACTAAAGCAGTTCTTGGGCAATGAACAAGATAGAGCTCTATGTCTCTCCAGTAACTTTAAATTTCCAACATAAAGTTTACATTTTTTTTGGGCAATCAAAAATCCAACTGTGGAAGCAAGAGGAAAAGACGCCATGTTTCTATAAACAGTTCCAAAAATTCTCCATAAAACCCCCAAAAGGTGAAAACCCGATGCAAGATTCTCCTCAAGAATTCACTCACAGAAAGTGTAACTCAAATGTCAAATTCACTGGCTTTAAGAGTGCACAAGATAAAAATATTACCTGAACAAAAAAAATAGGGAATCCCCGGGATTTAAGAGCTTGACCGCGTAGCTTGAAAAGAAGGTATTTTCAGGTCATCTTTTGAAGGGGCTAGATAAGAGCAATTGTGGGTTTTTCAGGAGATTGTCTATTATACTGTCAAGGCCATTGATATTTTTTCCGGGGTGAAAATGAAAGTTATGCATTGTCTGGGGCAAAAATCCTAGTATTTTATAACATTGGGCCTTTGTCTTGAACAGAGTATGGGCTATTGGGCTAGGATAAATCTTCAAGTACATAATTTTTTGTACATAAAGGTGTCCTTCACTAACATAATGTGGGATCTATCATAATAAAATATTCAAGTGGACTTCACTCCATGTGATTGAAAGACATCTTAATGTACAAAAAATTATGTACATCAAGCAAGGCCCATTGGGCTAATAGTTATTTATGGGATGGATTCTTTATAGAGATATATAATGGAAATTATGCAAATTAAGAAAGAGGAAATTACACACTGTCAAGGCTTTTAAGTTCACTGTGTATAAATCATGGGCCTAACTTTTCTAGTCAAATATCCGATATTAGATTTAAAAAAATACTTATTTAAAATAAGCGCGGTTCCGTTGTTAACGTGCTTCAAATCTAATATTTCTTCCTTCTCTATCAAACAAGAGAAACTGCCCCCAAACCTCTCCCCACGATCAATGATAAACCACTCCAGCAGTTACCAACCTCATGAATATCTCCGGTTAGTTTTCCCGCTCCGACCTATCAAAAAACTAATCTTCGTCACATACCAAAGCGAATTGAGTATATTCTTCCTCTACCCCATCACTTTATCAAAAAAACTTCCCATTTTATAGTCAACAAAAAAAATGACTAAACTCAAGACAATAAACATCCATGTCACGCCAAAAAGGAGAGGAAAGAGGAAGTATGAGGAAAGCCCAATGAAATCCCATAAGAAAAAGTATGCAGCGTCGTCTGTGACCTTGGGAAAAGTCCAATCGAACATGGTATGTTGATTTTTATATTCTATTAATACATTAAGTGACGGGTATTGATTGAATAATCGTTAGGTAACATGTATTGAAGATCTGTGACCTTGAAATTCGTTGAATTCGTTCCGTCGTTGGAATGGGGTAGGGTTTGCCATTTTGAACGTAGAATGTTTGTTCATTTGATTTTTCGTTTTCGATGTTACGAATAATCTGGTGTCTATTCACGAATAAGCATATATTGGGAATTTATGACGTAAATGCATATGGATATGGTTGCATGTGACCTTACTGTAATGGGGATTGGGCTGTGAATGTGATCTTAATATGTGAATGAGACTGAAGTTTGTTGTGAATATGTGACTTAAGTGAAAAGACTTTGTATGCCTGTGACCCGACTGTTAACATGGTTGATGATGTGTTTTTAGCCATACGATGTCCATGTGTGACCATTTCACCTATATGTGACCAAGTATTCTCAATGCAAAGACACTCATATGTACATCTATTGCTTTCCATCACAGTTGTGACTATAATGGTTGAAGACCAAACCAAAGTTAAAAACAAATGAAAAATATATGTTTGGGTTCTCATGTTTAATAACTGACATTTGGGAAGAGTGTCATCAGCTTGATGTTGCGTGATCTCTGCTTCATAGGACATTTGGTTCACGATAGGGTATGAAATGGGTCCCAAGATCACTTGAAAATTTATGTAAAAGTTGTTACTTATAATTCTTAACAGGGTTTCATCTAACTGTGACCTTAATTTGTGAATGTGACTGAAATCTGTTGAGAATATGTTGTCTGAATGAAAAGACTTTGTATGCCTGTGAGCTGGCTCTTAACATGGTTGACGATGTGCTTTAGTAATATGATGTCCATATGTGACCAATTTTACATATATGTGACCTGAATTTAACCTATATGTGACCATATCACCTAAATGTATTTCCTTTTCTCTGTCTCTAAATTACAATGCAGGTAATTAATAATTTTATAATTATTAAGTTTTATGTAGGTCTGGCACTTTAAAATACCTGAAAAAAGTTGGTTTCCTGGAAAGATTATCACCTCTGTGTACAAGGGTGTTCTCACCACTATACAATCAAAGTTAAGCCAAAGCCAAAAACAGATATTGAGGGACACATGCTTTGCCCACTTCTTGGATTGCCATGAAATAGTGATTCAACTACAGTTGATTTACTACTTCCTTCTGAGGCAGGTTCAGCACCCGAATGAGGAAGAAATATGGTTTTATGTTTCCGGGCGATACGTCAGGTTCTCTATATCTGAGTTCTATTTGGTCACAGGACTGAGATGTTCAATCGATACCGTTTTTGAAAATAGGCAGTCAAAGTTGAAGGCCAAATATTTTTCACAAGTAGATGCTATCACACATGAAGATGTGAAGGACACATTTCTATCTGCATGCCAAATGCCTGACCTCGATCTGGTTGAAGCCTTACCAGACAATGACGTTGCAATGTTTGGGGTTTTACATTTCCTAACTGCCTATCTCTTTCCCCGTGACTACAAGAAAGTTGTCGACCACTTCCTGTTTGTTCTTGTTGAGGACTTTAATGAAATGAATAGTTTTCCACGGGCAAGATGCTATTCCCAATTACTCTGGGTGCATTGAGAGATGGACTCAACAGGAGGACCCCACACTATAGGCTACGAGAAATGCTTGTATCCTTCCAAGCATGGATATACGAGACTTTTCCCAGTCTTGATGGCATCGTGGTCACAAGGATATCGAGGGTGCATCTCCACATTGTAAACTGGATGGTAGATGAGCAACCATTAGCTGTCAAATTGGAAGGACCCGACTGCTTCTCCAATCCTAAGGTAAAGTTTCAGTAAACGTCATGCAATTAATACTGAATTTTTGACTTTGCATTCATATAAACAACATATTGTATTACATATTGTGATTTGTGACTTGGAACCGTTGGAAAGTGAAATGGCGATACCATACATGAATGGAGTCCAATACAACAAGCCAATCCAGCCAACGTCCTCAACCGAGAGCCGAAGAAGAACCAAGCGCAGGATGGAGAGGTCTGTTGAAGATGCCGGTACTAGCGGGAAGTCGGTTCCATCAGTCCTACTGTTGATGGACAGTAATATTGGACAAGCTCACTCTTCAGATGATGACGACGATTTTGCTGCTCCTCCTCCAAGACAGCAGGAGCCATCCGCCCGTGGAAAATCCCCATTTGTTGAAGGTCCAACGGCCGCTCATCATTCTCAAGAGGAGCCACAATCTCATGGGGCACAAAGGGATTACGTAAGTTGCTATGTTAGTCAGCTCTCAATATTTCCATCATTGGTCACACATTAATATTTTCTATGTCACATTTCATACACGTCAGGTCACAGATAGACCAATCTGCATTGTATGTTGATGGTTGGTCACAGATATGTCTCAAGTAACATATAATAATTAGTTATTCATTTTTGTCAGGTTTTTGAGGTGTTGCGTGTGTAAGTATCCGAACTCCAGGTGGACAATAAAGTGTTGAAGACGGAGCTTGAATAGATCAAGTCACATATGTCATCCTTGAACGAAGGGAAGACTAATAAAATGGATGACATTGTACAAATGCAAGCTTGTATTAAAAGTGACTTGATGGATATTCGAACGAACATGCAGTTTCTATTCGAGTCTGTGTCAACAATGATATCTAGTGCAATGGACGAGATCATTAGACGGTCTGGTGACAAGACAAGCGAGCGTGGAGTAGGACAAATAGAAGCTCTTGGAGTTGGAGATCAAGAACATCATGTGGCTGGTGGATCTGACAAGGTTCAAGAGGTATTCGTTTGACATATTTCACATTTCTGTAAAAGAACAAAGTTTATTTTGACATTTCCCATTCAACATGTAGGTGGAAAACATGGTATCAAACGTCGACAGAAAAGGGAAAGGCAAAATGGACCCATGTGATGATCTTCTCTTTTCCCTTGAGCCACCATCATTTGATTTGGGGATTGAATTCACCCCATTCAATGTTTTGCATTTGGAGAAAACTCAGAAGAGGGTAGATTCCATTATATCCGATGTGTTGACGGCAACAAAGGCTGTTGAGAATGAGGTATTTATATGTTCTAGTAGTTGTAGATCTCAAATCACACATACTTCCAAACCATATTATATTATTAGGTCACAGATAACACACACTTCAGATCATGTCCTATTTATAGGTTATATTTCACAAACATTCCAAACAATGTCTCTTTCATAGGTCACAGATCATACACAATACCAACACATGTTCCAGTCATTGATCATAGAGCACAGACACCTTCAAACCATGTCCCATTCATAGGTCACAGATTAAACACAATTCCAAATCATGTTACATTGTTAGGTAACAGATCACAGATTCCTTCAGCCCATGTCCTATTCATAGGTTACAGATAACATACATTTCAAACCATGTTATATTTATGGGTCACTGGCCATACACCCTTCCAAACTATCTTCTAATCATATGTCACATATCATAGACACATTCAAACCAGGTCACATGTATAGGTGACAGACCACACACGCTTACAAACTATGCTACAGACAGCTCATGTGCCGTATTTTCAATCAATTTGTAACCTACTGCAATAACATACATGGATCACCTACTGCTGAACAAACCTCGAAATTACCAGTTAAGCGGGTTTTAAGGCCATCGAGGGTATTGCAGTCTCCTTTTGTTGTCGGACGGGAGAGAGGGAATTATTCAAACACGATGATAATATTGTCGTTTTTTAGGATTACAAAGACAATATTGACGAGGTTGACAAATCGACCTTCATGGGTTGGTTCCAGAGGGGGTACAAACCAAAAAACAAGTAAGTACATTTCGTACCTATCTGTGAAAAATTACTCCATACATAGTTTGACAAAATAATGTAACATTTAGTGTCAGTCACAGGAAAAGTTTAGAGAGGAAGATGACGCCATCAAGCATGCTTTTCTAATTGGTTCATTCCCAGTAGGTCATAAGACCTAGTTCCACGAGCTTATAAATTTGGAGTCATCACTGAGTGGTACGGTACGATTACGTTTACACACTCAATTAAGTTACATTACTTTTTTTTAGAATTTTGATTTCTTTTGTACTCGTTAAGAAGAGTATAAAAGATGATACAAATAGTTCACATTTCATATTGTAACTAG